AAAAAGTTCAAATTCAACCTTCACATCATCGTCTCCAAACTGAAGAGCAAGATTGGCAACGGACTGAGTTACATCCTCGATGCGAATCTTCCGATTATAAGTGAACCAGAAGTTTTGTGCCTCTATCTGAGCACGTTCTACCAAAGTACGAGAATCAGCGATGAGTCCGGCGAATGTTACGCCTGGAACGAGCAGTAATCTTGTGCAGGTCGCATATGAAAAAGAAATAAAAATGACGAATTGTAACAGTTTCTCTGTGTACAAAAACTCATTACCCGACTGAAACCCTACATCGAACCATAGCGCAAATTGGTTTGACCTTTTAATCGAAGTGTCAACAAAAACAACGCTATGTTAGCATACAGATAAATTTACAACGAGCCTGAAAGTACGGCTGAGAAAAATCTTCTTTTCACTTTATGTCAGTATTCCTGTATGTTTCAAAAAATTCTGTAACAAACCAGCTTTCATAAATCAATAACTGCAACTAAGATGTACAAGAGGATGACTGATCCTAACCATAAAACCTCCGTCTCCCCTAAGGATTAGTACTGGTATTGGTTAATGTGCCGAGTAAACATGTGCGTTTCTTAAAGCTATAGTCGCTCATACTGGCGATGGTAACCCTTGTATAATCAGTTTAAAAACGATTTTAAATATTGTAATTAAAACACACCAACGTGTTCATCAACTTTACTGATTTTTTCTATAGCATCATTAACCATTAGTTTCGAAGTTGATCGCTTTTCCGCAGCAAGCAGAACACCTTCGTCCGTGCGAATGCCGATACTGGTTGATCCAAGCTGTAAATGGAATATGTTAATATACTATTGATAAAAGCAGGAAAAAATTTGACTGACCTTGACAGCTTCTATCGCATATTCAACTTGAAAAAGGCGTCCTTCAGGAGAAAAAGTGTTAACTCCGCGATCGTACTCACTACGCGTCAGAAACATCACCCGATTTATTACGAGGGTAGATCTAAAGTAAGGCTTCACTACACAATACAAACAAAACAAATCCCAAGCGCTGTAAATAAAATATTTTTAACCGGATAGCTGTTCAAAAAAATGATGAGGGATAGACGGCAGGTTTCAAGATCATGTCAAATACAGATGAGATGATATGAGCGCTGTCTGCAATTTCACGTAAGATGCCCCTAAAATTCGACAGTAACCAGAAATGTTAACTTCAGATTCTTTCTTGTGGTTTAATGGACTTTTCCTTTTCAACATGCTACCTAGGAGACACTAAAGTGCGTTTCTTTGAGCGCTTCAGCAATTCCAATAATAATACGCATGAGTTCTATCGGTCAAACGAAGAGAACGTCGTCGATCAAATAGAGAGTGCTCAATTAGATGGGATTCTACCTGTAGAAGCCAGCGATCTGCAGAGGGTAAGTTTGGGCAACATAATTTCTCTACTTTATCGATTGAGCTTGAACGCTAACAGACCCACCACCATCCATTTAAATCTCTAACATGATAGCAGTTGCGAATTTATAGATATAATCTATTCCTCGTTTACGGTGATCAGGGTTTTCTAAACAGAACACTATATTTCTGCGCATTCAAATTACATAATTTTGATATATTGATGAATTTCTCCAATTTTTATCACTTTTTTGTTGTTAATATATGTCGATTACCAAACAGATTCTTAATAGTGGATTTCGTTGACGTTATAGGGTCTTTTCACATCTCAGGTCCGGAAATGTTTCGGACTTCACTCGCTTACACAAGTGATGGATCATTACAGGCGTTGTTCATTCAATACCAAATACCATTCAATTCTGAGTTGTTGCTGGTTTATGAATGGACTGTCTACCGGAACTAATCCCCAAATCCAATAAAATAAAACGCAACAATGAACGTAAAAGGCGCTTCAGTCGTTCGGGTCGTACACTTTCTCCCCCCTTCTCCTACATCGCCACGTCATCTCAGCGATTTCCTTAACAGCGTTTTCGCTTGCCCGCCTTACTCTTTGGCAAGAAAGGCAGCCAATCGTCTCGACAGTATGAAGCTGCACAGTTGCAACTTGCCCTGTCATCTAGAGGAGCCCTGTGTCTCTTCTTTTTAAATATTCATGTGCACAAAGAAATGGCTCAGGAAAAGAAAAAATTCGGAACTGAGAATTCCTGAACCATTGCTGTGAAGAGAAGAAGCCCTGAGTCTCTGCTTTTTACAATTTCATGTTTAGGAC